GTTTGGCTTCACTAAAATACCGCTTGGCTCCAACCAGCCCATATTTCCTGACTCCGACCATGCCCCGAAGCAGTGAAAGGGTAGAAGTTTTTAAAATGAGATTTGAATTTGTGTACTTGCATTCCTTTCAGTTTTTGACTATGTTGTTAGTCCTACTTGGTCCAGCACTGGGAAGCTTGAGTGAATTTCCTTAATGAAACTTAGAAGGAATCAGTGTTGTTCAAAATTTGCTTTGTGAGGGGCTAATCTGAAAAGAGACTCATTTTTGGATACAATTGCTTTTTTTTTATGTGGTTTGCATTCTCAACATACTGCTTATTCAGACAGTATTTATTGACACATGTTAGAAAATTTCAGAAATCAAGGCAGGGTATTCAAGTATGGTGACATAAATAGCGACCCAAATTCAGAAAAAAAAAGGGAGGGGGGAACCAGGTCAACTTCATTTCCGGCTTGAACTAGTTAAGCAGTCCCGTGGGAAAGTGATCCACTTTTGTGACATAACTGATTTGTGCGTCGTGGATAGAAATGTCAAGCCTAAAATTTGCACAGTATCTTTTCTGTGTTTTCCTCTTGGTTTTTAAGTTGAGGTGGGAGGGCATAGCTCAGTGGTAGAGTGCATGCTTAGGATGCATGAGGTCCTGGATTCAATCTCCAGCACCTCCATTAAAAAGTAATAATAGATAAAACAAACCTAACTACTCTTCCCCCCTAAATAATAATAAAGTTGGACGTATTTTTTCACAACTGAGTTGTGATCTAAATTGTCTCCTTTACGTGGATAAAGCAAAGCACCCAAGGAAATCTGTTCGGGGTCACACAGGGAGCGGAGCAGAGCCAAAATGCATGCCCAAGAATTGCTTCTTAGTGCTGCCTTCGGCTAGTGCTGCCTCTGTGTGGTTTTGATAGAGGTCTTAATCGAGACTATCCCCTCAAGGACTTGGCAGACTTAAAAAGCACGTATAAACAATATACACATTCCATTTACTCTGAAACTGAACCCCTTGTGGAATACAAATTAGCACCTATCCCCCCCTACAGCCCGCCTCTCCTACAGGGTAGCGGTAAGGGTGTGCAGAGAACATACAGTTTGCTGTCCAGCATCGGTAGCAGCCTTTTCAGCAGGGAAAAAACAGTGGAGAAGCCCAGCGCTGTGACTGTCAGCCTAATTTAGTTAACAGTTAAATGCTTTTCTAAAAGCAAGTACTGTGTGGTGTGAGTGAGGTGGGAGGAACATGAAAAGGAAAAATAGGAGGCAGAAGGCAGAATGAGAAAAAAAAGAGAAGAAATAGGAAAAGGAGAGAGAGGGGAAAGAGGCACTGCTCACTGGGCTGTGGAGTCAGACAGAAAGATGGATTCAAATCTCAGCTTTAAACTTTCCCAACCCTACATTTCACTGAAATCTTGAACTGTTTACCCAACTGTAATAAAGGTGAACAATAATGAGAAATCATTATTTACAGAATAGTGAAAATTCTTATTTATAATGATGATATCTGGTTTATATGTTCTTCAGTGCTGAGATTTCAGTGTATGAACTAGGATTTGGCTTGACTGCTTTGTGACAGAGTTTAGTATATAAGATTTTATTCTCTCACATAAAGAAGTTAGAGGAAGGCAGTCTAGGGCTCTGAAGGGGATTCCTTAAATTGTGAGAGCCCTGGCCCCTTAGAGCTTTTTACTTAGCCATCCCTATCTTCATGGTTCAGTATGGCTACTGGAGCTCCAGCAATTACATCTTTGTTTCAGGGAGCAGAATGGATGAAGGACAGAAGGAGGGCTTTTTCTTGTAAAAAATCTCCTTGTAAGGTTTTTTTTTTTCTTTCCCCAGAAGTATCGTGTGACACTCTGTTTACATCTCATTGGCCAGAACGTAGTCTTTTTTTAAGCTTTGTGTACGGACTGTAGCAAGAAACATTCTGATCCTTAGAAAAATGTCTCAGAAGTTAAAACTGTTATTATTAGTAACAATAATAGTAACAGTAAGGGGTCTCAAGCACTATATTCAAAAATTTGTGTGATGAGGTGTTATTATCCCTATTTAACAGAAAAGAAATTGTAGTTTAAAAAAGTTAAATAGTTTGTCCAAGGTTATGTCATTAGCCAGAGGTGGAGCTTCAGTTCAGAACCAGACATCTTTTTCCAGATCCCAAACACTTAATCACTACTTTGCCTCCTGCTTCTCAAGTTTTGACTTGATAGTTTATCCATCTCCATGTGAGGTGTTTTAAAACCTTCTATCCTATTTGTGGTTTTATAGTCTTCAGGTCTCCACCCTTTTCACTGAACACAGACACACAGACACACAGACACACACACACACACACACACACACACACACGCACACTTCTCTCACTTATTTTTCTCAAGTCTTCCAGTGTTTCTGTGCTTATGTAAAAGAACGTGACTTTTAATACTTGGTTATTTCCTTGCCAGTTGTCTTCTTGTACTTTGGTCAGGAGCCTGCTATTAGAGTTTTTGGCAATTTATTTACTGAGCAGCCTTTTTTCCCCAGGTGCAGCCCTAAAAGCTGTTGGGGAGAACAGGGTGAGTAAGAAAGTCCCTGCCATCGAGACATTTACAGTGCAGTTCTTTAGCAAATGGATTTTAGACAAGCTTCTTAACATCAAATGATACTATGACACCACATGTAAATCACAACTGACCTAGATGCACACACCCATTTGTCCTTATAATTACAAGTGCATCATCGTTACCTCTCAGTGGCCACCTGTCCCTTCAAAACATTCCTAAGAAATTGGGTAGAGTAAATAGGCAATTCCATTCTAGTACTCGTGGTATTTTTCTCTTAAACAACATGGCTCATATTATTGTTATAGTAATAAAAGCTTAATCTTAATTTACATAAAGAGGATATGGGTTATTATACCTATTATTTAGAAATGTCTATTTTATGACATTTTAGGGTTTTTTTCTTTTTTTAATTGAAGTACAGTCAGTTACAAAGTGTCATTTTCTGGTGTGAAGCACAGTGTTCCAGTATGACATTTTAAATAGTGGCAGAAATAGTATCCAAGTGTATTAGAGGCTCAGATCAGCAGGGACCGGTGCACATTTGAGATCAGAGCCTACCAATACAAGCCTGTGTAAGGGTTACTTTTTTTTGCAAGATCAGCAAAGAGATTGCACTTCATAGGTTATGAAGCAGGGAGTATTACCCAGGGATGTGAGGCTGATGGCACCATCTCCTACAGAAATTCCCTTTAAACCAATCTTTCCCTGGAAATAAGATACTGAGAGAAGGGACTGACAAGGATTCTTGTTTTGGCCATTTCTCTGCTTTGGTCCTAGTATACCTTCTGCTTAATGTTATTTCTTTTTAAAAAATTTTTTTCTGAGGGGTGGGAGTAGGTAAATAGTTTCATTCATTCATTCATTATTATTATTTTATTTTTAATGGAGATACTAGGGATTGCTAAGCATGCACACTATCACTGAGCTATATCCTCCCTGCTCTTTAAAAATTAAAAAAAAAGTTATTTGTCTATTTGTTTAATGTTATTTCTTTTAAATAAGTAATTTTCCCCCTATTTGGAAGCTACCTACAAATTATTTTTCCCCGTTTCCTGGTTATGTAGCTATAGAAGCATTTTCTTTTGTAATGGAAAAGTGACTTTTCAATTGGTCTAAATATACCATCTGCCCCTGGGATTTGCCTAGACACATTCATTCCTAGTCTTTAAGGTATTTTGTTAATGGAGCTTCATCAGTTTGAGAGGTCAGTTCCTCTTTGCATGGTTATTTGGCATATATCACGTACCCTGACATTTGATTTATCAGTAACGGGTCTCCAAGCTCTCCTAATGGTCCCTTTTATCTTTGATGACCTAATTAACTTTATCTGATCATGGAAAACTTACATTTTCTAATTGTCTTTGAGATAATTGGCTTCATTATTGTCTTGAATGACTTTTACTTTGAAAACTTAATATCATCCTCCTCCTAATGATAATGATAAATAGCACTTGTGTGGAGCTTTAGACTTAAAAGGAATTTTAAAAGGCTTTTCTACATTGTATGCAGTCCTTACTGCAACACTGAGGGAAATGGTTTATGCTCATTCCTGATTTCATGTCACCAGGGATTCTGCAGTAAACGTGACAGACATGGTTTCCTCTTCCTATCACATTATGGGAGAGAAAGGTTTGTTATGAATGAGGGAGACATTTTTATAAGAAATCTGTAGCCCAGAGATCTTAATGACTTGCCCAGAGTCATTGTAGGTGATAGAATTTGCCTGAATGTGTGATTGATGACTAAACTGGAAAGACAAGTAGAAAGGAGATTTTAAAGAGTTTTGGAAAACTGTAACAAAAGGTTGGAATTTTTTTTCTATAGATAACGAGTAGCCAGTAGAGGCTTTGGGTTGGAGTGGAGATACAGTCAAAGCTTTTAGAAAAAATAACCTGACAGTGAGGAGCCAGTTCAGTAAATAAGGTTGTAGAGGTATGGGACAACTGAGAAACTATTAATAAGTATATATATAAGAGAGAGCCCTGAAATAATGGAATGGTAGGTGGGGATGGGACAAATGGAGGAGACACTGCAGTGGGAAAATGGGGGAGGACTTGATAGTTGATTGCGTGGAAGGAAAAGAAAAGAAGTCAATATTGTTTGAAATTTCAGGTGACAAGAAGAGCTTGCTAATTACCACAGATAGCAGTAAGAATGTAAAGAGCGTCAGTTAAGAGAAGCCAGATGTCCATTCAGGTGGCTTCATTCTAAGATCATCTCTCAGATGTTTCCTAAAGCTAGGAATAATGTTCCTTCTAGCTCTCTTCATTCTGGATCCAGTCGAAGCATTAGTTCCTCTAGTCTGGTCTGTCCCAAGGGAGTAAGGAGAAAGTCTCCCAAAGATTGAAAATTAGGAGAAAACAGAGTAAGATTATTACTCCAAAGTGGGTCTTTCCTAGAATGTGTGAAATGGCAGGCGAGTATGTGGCATGTGTTACCTACTGACCGAGTGGCTTGCTTCCTAGGCGTTTTTTGTTGACCACAACTCCCGTACCACTACTTTCATCGACCCCCGGCTCCCACTTCAGAGCAGCAGACCCACGAGCGCACTGGTTCATCGACAACACCTGACAAGACAGCGCAGCCACAGCGCAGGCGAGGTGAGTCCACGCCTTAGGGACGGACCTGCTGGTGCACAGAAGTACAGGACGTGTGGTTTATGGCACTGTACTGGCTCTGTATTATTGTTTTGTTTTGAATTTGATTTAGAGACTATCATTTGAAGGCTGAAAAGTGTTGGCATGTTGGTAGGGCTTCTCTGGAAAAACACAGAGCCTAAATTCCAAGTTTAAAAAGCAGGACATAATGAGGAAAGACTGAAGAAAGTAGAGATGTTTTGAAAATTCAGTGAATGGCGAGAGAGAATTCATAATGTAGTAAAATGCTCCAGAGAGGAGGATGGTGAGCTCTTCCGCATACCTAAGGGCAGCTTCATAGGAAGAGACGAATGTAACTCTTAGAGGGCTAAAATTAAAGACGGGGAAGTTTCTTAAGTGAGGATTGCTGGATTAGGTTAAAATCTTTGGCCAAGGCTATGGGGTTGTGATCACCTCACTAATACTCTTTAAAATTAGGATATATATATATGAAAGTTGTTTTATGTATTCTAAGTTCCCAGAGAATACATAATTAATTACTGAAAGCTCCACTGTGCTCTACTTTGGTAGTTTGCAGTGACCCACGGTAACCACATGGGGGCTCTCTAATAACCTAACCACAGAGAAAATTAAAAGAATCTCTGTTTCCCTTTTTTCTTTAGCAGCTTAAATAAATAAAAGAGGAATGTTTTAGGTCAAATATTTTCTCCTTAGTATGGGCTTATGCTTTGAATATCATTGCTTGATATACATTGTTTCTAAAAATTCCCTTAGACAAATAGAATTAAGATTCTTGTCCTGAATGCCTTTTCCGTGTCTATGTGCATATCATATTTTCAGTATTATGTTGTAGGTCAAATATTTTTGTAGCTTCTATTATAAGAAAAAATTATGAATGCAATTAATAACTGGGTTTGATTCATCAAAATTCCACTCTTGGAATTTCTGCTCATGATTTGCCTCCATGCTCTAATGCATCGTGTGTGTTTGCTGGCTGTAAAGGGAGACAGAGAAGAGTACACATGAGAAGCTCATAGAAAAATGATATATAAATCAATTGCAGGATGAGGTATGCACAGAAATATTTATGTTTTATGGGTAGCTAATAAATCTGTACCTGGCTGTCATATAAACCATTTGTGGTAAACTGGATGATGCTAACAGCATTCATCTAAGAAACAGAACAGAACTCTCACCTTTGGACCTTGTGCGTAATATGTGGCATATTAAGGCCCTGCCTGGTTGTATCACGCGGCCAGTGCACTTTAGACACTTGCCTTATCTCAGCCTCACAATAGGAAGCTGACAATTCAGTCTAGTCAGGACTACGTGCGTGAGATTAGTAGCTACACTTGCATTTTCTTTCAACCCTTCTGCCTCAGAACTTGAATTATTTTCATGGTCTAATAGTAGGGATACTCAGGTACACGTTAAAATTTGAATGAAGACTTCTCTTCATACTGATGGACACTAAGCAGTGGAACAGAGATGACCCCATAAGGACTCAGCATTCAGCCCCAGAGGTGTTAAACCTTTGAGGGGAGTGTGCTTCTGGCCCAGCTGTCGGAAGCATGCACATCCTGCAGTAATACGCACGTTGACTGGGGCTTGCCCACTGTCTGACGGTCTGGTTTGAAGAAACAGGGTGTCAAGGAGAAGACCTTTGGCTGTTCTCGGAAATGGTGGTACAAGGCAGCATACTGACTGGAGGGAAAATATAGATTGGTGAATGGAAATGATAAGTTTGGTGACTGACAAACAAGGGGTAGTTAACGATTGAATCTCCCCCGAGAGAGGCTGACTTCATTCCTCAAAGCCAATAACTCAAAAGAGGCAGAGTGGGAAATTTCTAGTTATGTATATGAATCTTCCCAGCCACTCTCTTAGACTCATTGGGCAAATATTCCAGGCAGTAGAAATTTTGGTATCTCTTCTGTCCAGCAATGAATACTTACTAAACACCAGTGGTGTAGAAATGTGGTTGGTGTGTGAGATACAAATCAGTAACACATGTTCCTGTGTTCTTATTAAGGAGAGAATGTATAAAATGAACCATCATCCAGATGAATAAAGATACAAGAGAAAAAAAAGCCTTATAACCTGTTAGTAACGGCAGCTGCTCTAGAAGTCTACCCCCAAGTGCTGGGGGAGCTCAGAGAAAGTGACATTTAATGTCAGCTTGAAGGGAAGAGAAGGCTTCATCGAGGAGGGGCTGTTTGCACTACACTTTGAAGAATAAGTGAGAACATTCTTGAAGGATAAACAAGCAGTGCCGGGATGGGATGATACTTCCAGTTTCAGGGCCTTTAGGAAAAGCCCTCGCCAGACGCCTATCTAATGCAGTGCGATAAAACGGTTGTGAGGGTTTGAATGGGTGGGAGTGGCAGCTCTGTTTGATGCGCACTAATTTATAAATCCAGTAAGTTATTTTGCCTTTTGTCCTCTTACTCTCTTATACAACTGTTCCACTCTTGTCTTAAAAGACTCCTATAATGTGGGGGGAAATGCTAAAATGGAAGCTACAGCAACGTTAGAGGTTTCTGGTAAGACTGTAACTGGGCACTTTTGTTTATCTGCTTGGATGTATGAGTTTCTAGGTCTATAACAGGTACAATAAGTAATTCAGGTTAGGGGAACCCTCTTTAGCTCCTCCACACCTGCTACGATTAGCTCCCTGGTGTGGGAGGTTCAAACCAGAAAGAGCTGCTGTACTGGGTGCTCTAAGAGGTGTGTAAAGTTGCTTCGAAGGAGAGAAGACACCACCTCGGAAACCCCATGAAGACAGCTGCTCTTCAGCCCCTCCTCTGCTGTGGCAGGGAATTCCCTGAGCGGCCTCAGCCAAGAAGAGGTCTATCCTGGCCTCGCGGTGGTGACCTTGAACACCAAGCTGTTCTCTCTGATGGCGCTGTCGCCGGGTTGTGTTGCGTCAGGCAGAAGTTATTCCCGACGAGCAGGAATTTGGCTTCCACAGCCCCAGTCATTGTAGGTGTGCCGAATACTCCTGTACCACCTGCCAGTAGTCACCGCCCTGGCCCCTCTCAAGGACATGGATACCCCCACCCCTCAGTTCAGCAACCAAAGCAGAGCTTCTGAGAGTCCTGTGTCAACTTTCAGCTGGCATCTCTTCCGCTCATTTTGTGCTTAACCACGCTCGCTGACAGATACTCTGAACAACTTGGCTTGGGGTGCTGACACAAAGTACTCTAGGTCTCGGTGCAAAACATAAACGATGCTTGTGTTTGCAGGTGGGAGAAGATTCTCGACATGCAGGACCTCCAGTTCTCCCCAGGCCGTCGAGCACGTTCAACACCGTCAGCAGGCCACAGTACCAGGACATGGTCCCCGTGGGTAGGTCATCCCTTTCCAGAAATACCTTGGCCTTTCAAGTTGGCGTGTACCACGCACTCTGTGCTGATACTTCCCTGTTGTCGGCCCGCTACATGTGCCCTGGACTGAGAAACTGCTATATTATCCCTAAGATATTGATTCGAGTCTCAAGACACTTAGGTTTTTGTAAAATCCGATAGGATGAGATTTTTTTTATACCACTCTACCTTTTCTGAGTGAAGCTCAGATTAGGCTGTTGAAGTTAAGGAAACATAAGTTCTTAAGGCAACTGTATTGTGTGGTCATTTTAAATTAAGCATTTGGACCAGTGTATATTTAGTATACATCTAATGCTCGAGACAGAGTTTAATTTGTGCGTGAGCCTGTAGTAGCCTCACAAAATAAGAAAGCAGCGATGGCACATTCTTAAGGATAAATAATATCAAATGCGCGAGAGCAAGAGCCTCCAAAATTGTAAAATAAAAATAAAGGAATGTGTGCCAATAGGTCTAAAGACCAACTTGAGTTGTTATTAACATGATGATGTTGAAGTAGATCAGTTTTCAAACCTGGAGCCCCTCAGGCAGGTGGAGCGGACAGACTGGTAAAGGACGACATGGGATCCCTGCTCCATCTTAAATTTGGGCAGCTTTCCATTTGTCTGGTTTTACTTTAAATTTTTTGCTTTTTTAAGAAAGACTTTACCATGAAATATAATGCAGTGCCCATATCCTAAAGAAGTTTGACTACCACTGAATAAGAAGAAGTCTTGGGTCAAAATCAAACAATCCCCATTCTATTATGCCATTACTAATATGATACTAAATACTGCACATCAAATTTTGGTGTGCTATAAAATTGTGGCTTAAAAAGTTACCTAGGCTCTGATCTTAGGTGGGACATAAAAATCCACTGACAAAATTTCAATAAAAGTGTTTTTATTTACATATGGTGAAATGTGCACTTAGGGAAACTTTGACTATGGGATTCCATGTTAGCAGGTAGATAGTACTTTCTTAAATTTGATTCATTTAACTAAAATTAGCATAATGTAGCTAAATTTTAAAGTGGCAAATGTCTAGAGAATCACATTTGTTTTGATTGATATTTTGTTAGTTTAAGTAAGGCATGTTTCTTGATCATATTAAGAACATGAGAGTATTGACTGAACTAGGATCTCAGATGTTTGAGAGTTCAGACACTCAGTTCTGTGATTTAAATGTATCTGTATCTGATTATAATGGTTTGATCAAGATGAATCATCTTAAGTAAACAAATTAGTTTTCTTGACAAAAGGGCATTAATAGACTGTTTAATGAATTTTAATTAAATTAAACATTTCTGTAGACGTTAGCCAGTCTTGACTAAGATATAGATTTTCCTTTTAATGTATTACGTATGTAATTGATGTTGCTGATTGTACTTTAGCTGTTGGTGTAATTGGTTTGGTAAAGAGCTACATGTGATTTAATGGCATTTTTTTCCACATAGAATTTGGGGATGGTTTGCCTATGCATTTGGGTAGTAGCTGCTGCTGGCAGCTATTGCATTTTGGCAACTATTGCTCTGCCTCTTTACCTCTGCACATGGTTGATGTTTAATCAGAAGACGGTTTTCATTTCTAACAGTTGCTAATGAGGTTGATTTTGGTAAACTGTACCAAAAAACAATCAACATCTAGCATCTTGTTGGTTGTCTCATCTTGCAATTTGATAATAAATATGGCTCATCAAATGAGTTTAATGAGTGTTTTAAGTCATATCTTACAGATCTAAATCCAATACTCATGTAACAGGATAGACACAAATTAGAATTAAAGCATCTGAAGCATAGACTCTAAACTATGACTTTGAGTACAAGGAATATTAACCAGAAAAAATGGATTTTTCAAAGTCTGGACTTAAGTGCATAAAGTTAATAACAGATTTTAAAATATTATTTTATATATATATATATTTTTTTCAGCTTACAATGACAAGATTGTTGCATTTCTGCGCCAACCCAACATCTTTGAAATTCTACAGGAGCGTCAACCTGATCTTACCAGGAATCACTCACTCAGGTAACCATAATATTGGTATTTAATTCAAATTGCATAAGCTCTAACCATTAAATCTTTGGTAACACTGACAATCATCTTGGAAATTCACTCTTGCTTTCTGACATTCTGAACAAAGGCGTCTTGTGCACAAATACTTTATGTTATCAATATCAGGTCATTGTGGTCCTGGTTTTTCTCTATTAAGGATGAGGACTGAATAAAATTGACTAGAGAACCTAGAACCATCTTTAAAGAAGAAATATGAAAAAGAAACAAAATCTCACAGTGATGAATGCATCCTAGATGTGCAGATTAAAAATGAAAATAAGACACTATTTGAATGTAGTTTGAGTAAACAAAAGAAGCATAGAGTTTATTGAATTGAGACTTATAAAATCCTAGACCCTTCATAGCAGCACTATTTACAATAGCCAAGACATGGAAACAGCCTAAATGTCCGTCAACAGATGACTGGATAAAGAAATTGTGGTATATTTATATAATGGAATACTACTCAGCCATAAAAAATAAAATAATGCCATTTGCAGCAACATGGATGGCCCTGGAGAATGTCATTCTAAGTGAAGTAAGCCAGAAAGAGAAAGAAAAATACCATTTGATATCACTGATATGTGGAATCTAAAAAAAAAATAAAAGGCAAACGAACTTATTTACAAAACAGAAACAGACTCACAGACATAGAAAACAAACTTATGGTTACCAGGGGGGTAGGGGGATGGGAAGGGATAAATTGGGAGTTCAATATTTGCAGATACTGACTGGTATATATAAAATAGATCAACAAGTTTATATTATATAGCACAGGGAACTATATTCAATATCTTGTAGTAGCTTATGGTGAAAAAGAATATGAAGACGAATATATGTATGTTCATATATGACTGAAGCATTATGCTGTACACCAGAAATTGACACAACATAGTAAACTGACTATACTTACATTAAAAAAAGAGAAAAAATTAAAAATAAATAGAAAAAAAATCCTAGACTTGGTATTCACATTTTTCTGTAAGAAAAACACAGTAGAATCCAAGGAAGAAATCTGATTCTCTCAAGTTCAGCATTCCCCTGCATGAACCCTCTCTTCTAAACAAGTCTTTGAAGTATCAAGCTTCAAGCCCAGTTTTACTTTCCTGGATACATGCTTTTCCTTCTCCCTGGCAAGCTCTTTTCTTCTTTTGTGTTTGGCAAGAAAGATCTTTCCTTTTAAATTCAATGTAAGTTCCACCCCATGCCCCGCCCCAGAAGCCTGTCAACTCCACTGTGGCTCCTCACTCTCATGACCAAGTCTAGACTTTCTCAACCTTGGTGTGCTAGGCATTGGTGGCAACAGAAAAAAGTGGGCATTTCTGCTGAAAATCCTACGTAACTCAAAGCCCACTTGGGCTACATGCCACCTTTACAGGCAGAAATATTTTTGCCCAGTGGTGCCATCCTGGCCCATGGCAGCCATTCTCAAATACTGCTCCACTAAGTTGTGCCAGACTCTTATTGGTATCACTGTGGAGTTTTATAAAGTACAAAATGCCAGCTCTTGCTTTCCCCAACTCGTCTCCTTTCTCTGAATTTCCACCCTCTATCCTACCATGCTCTGCCCAGAAGTTTAATGTAGGAGGTCTGAGATAGAGCTCAAGCATTTAATTTCCTAAAACTTCTCCATCTAATTCCAATGGCACATCAAGGTGTAATAACCTTTGGTCTAGACACTAATTTGATCAGTAATTATGTAATGTATCAAATTGTCCTTCCTACTATTTTGGTTATATGACTTTTGTGCTTTAATCTGACTTTTCAAGTCTTTAAGCTTTATTTTTCCAAATAGATTATACGCTCCTTGCAGATAGGGATTTTATTCACTCATCATTACTTCTCCTCCTTACTGCTGAAATATCTAGATTTTGCATATATAGTGAATGTAAATCTATATATCTAGATACATGTTGACTTGAGAATAAACTACCAAATAGTCTTCTTATGATGTTCTCAGTCTCTCATATCTTTAAAGTTGTCATTACTTTCTAAAGTTTCTGAACAACACATAATTTCAAGTACGATGCTACAAATGTTGCTTATACAGAAATCCCGATTTTACGTATTTAACATCTATCCCAGGTTTCAGTGTTTTCCCCAACTTAACAAGCAAGCTATTCTTAGTCAGGAAAAAGTATAAAAGTTATACAAGCCATCATTTTGTATATCTGTATATTCTAGCATCTACTCAGTACATGTGGTCTCCTAGAGAATCTAGTGTAAAAAGTTTTAGTTAATAACTGCAGAAATGAACCCCTCAGTTCTCTAAGGAGAGATCTTAGAGGTTCTGGGCTGCAAAGGAAACCAGATGAACATACATATAAAATCCCTCCTCTTTTGCAAATCACAAAATAAGGAGAACTCTGTTTTCTCTCTCTCTCTTTTTTTTAACCAACTTCATCCCCAACACACACACCCACACACACACACACACTTCTAGTCAATATCTGTTCCTCTGAAAGAACCCCCCCACACACACAAAAGAATAAGAAAGAGGAAACTCCTTGTTTTCCGCTTTTGCTCTGCAGCTCCACCTTATTATTTATATCAATTTAGCATATCTTCAAATCTCAGTCATCAGAGAAATTAGATGACATAGTCTATCTGAACAAGGCTTCTAACATCATTAGTTTTTAATACTTGACAGAACTTCGACAGACCCTAGCAGAGGAAAAAGCTGCAGACCTCATTGGTAGCTTCCATTTTTGTTTTTGTTTTACTTTCTGCTTTTTAGTGTCATAAAAGTTTCCTATTTCCTAAAGATAGCTGAAGATTTTTTACTTTTTAATGATACCCAGGGCCTTCAGTTAAATACAATCTTACTTCTAATTATCAATTTCACATGATAATCTATTGCTAAGAAATTGATAGGCTGTGAAATGTTTCCATCTTATTTCAAACCTTATTTATAAATTTCCGTTTACACTTTCTAAAACTGTTTACAGAATTTGACCATAGAAAGCATGAACAGTCATGATGAGTAGAAAGAAACAGGAACTTAATGAGATAATGCTGTTCCTCTTACACAGTGTGTATAACAGTACACTTTTGAGTTTCTGAAAAGTTGTTGGTAGTTAAGCATTTTGCTTATAGTAACAGTGAAATGAGGAAGTTGGTACATCTAAGAGAACACTTTGTTTCACAGAACTGCACTGTAAGGAGCATTCCCACAAACGAAGGGGTGGGGAATTGGCTGGGATCCTTTCACCCTATATTTCAGTGATATACGTGATAAGAGATTTATGCATGGAGGCACGGAGTAATTGTGTGTCAAAGGTAACTGTGGACCTATCTTCATATCCTGAGCAAGGGTTCTCAATAATAGCATGGCTCTGAGTGCATTGTTTCTCACTGTGGCACAGGCACTACTTAAAAGAAATATCCCTTCTTTTCTCCATAACAAAATGAGGGAATAAGCGTCAGCTTATCAAATAGGTATACCTCTATTTTGTGCTTTTATTGTTTTGTTTGTGATTCCTTGCAATCCAGAGGACTGTAAGCAGTTTGCTTAGTTTGTAGCCATCAAAGCTTCCCCTTCCTTGAGACTCCCCTGGTGTATCTTTTCCTGTAGAATAGCTGTGGTTTTTCATGCACTGGGATGTGGCTTTTGCTTTCAACTGCTCTTTTTAAATCACCACTTCCTCTAACTTCATCTAGCAAGCAAACACGAATGCTGTCAAGTTGTCTTTTTTTTTCTTTTTAAGTCTCAGCCTCAGAAGAATCACCATCCAAAAGTCAGTACCACTTCCATCAAATGGATAGTGTCCTGTTGGATTACTATAGCCAACTATTGGTTCTCACTGAAAGACAGTGATCATACTCAGAAGTTTTATAATGTTATAAAGGCGGAAATAAAGTGTTCTAATATTTTAGCCAAAAACAAATTATTCATTTTTAAAAAACATAACCTTTTAACAGTATTTTACAGATTAATGTAATATATACAAATTCAATAAAATTTTTGATGTCGGTACTTGTACAACATTGTATTATGAGCACGGATCTAAGTACCATAATTAAGAGTTGAATTAAGAGATGAGAATTTCCCCGTTTGTGTGATCATTGGATTCAACCAGTAAATCTGCTCCCTACTAGTCCAGCTTTCTCCAGACATCAGTGATAATTATTTGGACTCCAGGTTGATTCCTCCTTAAGTGCTTCCTGGATAAGTTTCCTTCCCATGAGAATGTGATCTGTGATAATCTTTCTTCATTCTGGATAAACTGGGCCATTCCTTAGATATGTCATTAGCAAATCAATAACTTGGAAGTCAAAAAGTTCTGAGCTACAAAAGGCAAATGAGTCCGTGTCCTAGGGCTCACCAGAATAGAAGCAAATGCAGACTCTGGCCTTCTATTTCTTTCCATTATCCTATTTTAAGAGCCTTAGAATTTTGTTATTGCTCAAATTACACTCTTAATTTTATTTTCATTTCAAAAATAGTGCATGCCATTGAGAAATTATCAAACAATACAGAATTTTAAGAAATAAAAAGTTAAAGTTTAAAAAATCTGGCTTTCATAAAACAAACCCCAATGTTCAAAGATTCTAACTTATTTCTAGTTCAGTTTTCTAATAAATGGGTTTTTCTGCATTTAATATTGGGCTGAAAATGTTAATCTCAGTTAACATCTTATCTACCTTGTCAAAATAGCATAAATTTTCCCTTGCCAATCCTTATGCATTTTCCTGTTATGACCTGCCTAGAGCTCTCTCTAGTCTTCTGATTTGTTTACTGTTTGCTCAGATATCTGGAACCAACATGACAAACTTCTGATCTTTGTTGCACCAAATTTGCATAAGAGGAAATCTGCACTGAAGCTGTTTTTTCCTATGAATCATTTACATAGGCATAATTATTGAATTTTTAAAAACACCTAATGAAAATTATTGACATCACACAGTGTTACTGGAGAGTCCTGGTCTATCTCCCAACTGGGAGACCAACGTTAATAATGGCACTTAGAATA